AGAGAATATTATTCAGTGAATTAACATTATCCAGTGAATTATTCTTCACTCTTTAGCCTATTAAACAGCTTATAAACCTACTAAAACTGTAGTTTAAAATTAAGTTGATATGACTCCTTTCCTTTATTTATTTTCTCCATTTGAAAACATTAGACCTTCTACATTTATTTTGCTTATTGTTAATATTAGTGTTGCTGCTGATGCTTTAAATGAAATGTTTTTTTATTGTTGTAATGTGAAGATTAAATTTAACATGAAAGACTGCTCATTTTCAACACTTTTTTTAAGATGACTGAAAGGAGGAAAAACCAAAGTGAAGTATATTACTTTATAACAGTAAATAAATATCGGTTCTGCATATCGGTTATCGGGCACATAAACATGCAAATAATTGGTATCGGTATCGGTTATAAAATATCAATATCGGTCGATCACTATTTATGATGGTAGTTTTTTTCTCAAATTAAACAGTGTAAAGCTGCTGAAGTGACTCTGAGCAAATCTCCTTTTAATCTTGATCTCCGTATGATCATTTATCACCCAGCCCTACAAAACAGCATGTTAAATGTGGTAGATTTTGGGGTGAATTATTCCTTTAACAGTTTATTGTTTGAATGAGATTTGATGCTTTATGAATTGATGAATTATTTCCATCTGTAGGGTCGAGGGTTTGTAGTACCACTGCTTTTAGTTTTGATACTCCGAATCCTGGAGGCGAACCAAGACACATGTAGGCAAGAGAAGAAAGATAGAGTGGGTGTCTGTTCGTCCTCTTGCCCTCCACACATACACACACACTCGCCTATAACCTTGTTTACATGCGCTCATCGCGCCTGCAGACTGTGTGAGATGCTTCAGTGCGAGGCTGACAGAAACTGTGTTAGTAGGGCTCCTGGTCTTTCCTCTTTGTTGGTTTCTGCAAAAGCCATCCACAAATACACACACACACACATATCTGGAGACTCAACACCTCCAGGCTTCCTCTGCACTAGAAGTGGGCGGTAAGACCAAAAGCCTGTATCATGAAAACAGGATAAATTGCAATATAGTTATTTTTGTTGGAAATTCATAAAAAAAAAAAAAGCGACGTTTTATGCCCCTTTTAATTACATTTATATAAAGGTAATCACACTCACTCAGTCCATCTTTCTCTCATAATAATCTACTTTATATAATACAGTGAGCTTTAAATACAGTAATATAATAAGCTTTCAATGAAGCAACTCAACGTTCCTTCGTTACTAGTTCTAAACTGATGTTTTGGAATTAGTAACGGAGTCTTGGGCTCAGCTGTTAAACTGTCAACTTTACATTTGAATCCGTGGTGGAAGGAAGTAGTTCTACACAAAAGAGGGTTTTGAAAGACACTCCAATGTTGTTTCTTATGTATTTACACACTCGTGGTAATAAAGTGCGTGCATCCATAATAAAACGTGCCTCACATGGCTCCGGGGGGGTGAATAAAGGCCTCCTGTAGCGAATCCATGCATTTTTGTAAGATAGATATCCATATTTCAAACGTAATAAACACTTCTTTCTAATTTCCGCTGACTGTGGTACGCGGAAGACGTTTAGGCGGATGACATTGTAAGTAGGCGTCATGCGCGCACATCAGAGAAATGCAGGAGCAAAGGAAAACCAGTCTCCTCTTGGCTTATATCGAAATTCTCCGACATTTTTCTTTCCAAATCCTCGTTTTGTGCTACTAATTCGTGACCGGTGTTTTGTTTCATTCTCTCCTCTGTGCTTCCACATTCGTCACTTCCTCGTTCGTGTCCTCGTTTGCCTACGTGCTACGTCATCCGCTGGACGCCACTCTCTCGTGAACGTGCGTACGACAGTTAGCGGAAGCT